CAGGGTACGACGGTCCTATCAGTCGTTTCCGTAGTGTAGTGGTTATTACGTTCCCGTCACACGCGGAAGGTCCCCGGTTGGAGCCCGGGCGGAAACGGCCTTTGAGTTGATGACATGGTCCACGTTGAGGCTTTCATTGATTTACGTTAGTCATATTATTTCGTCATGCCAGTGGCCGAGCTCTAGACCCAGAGCCCTGGAGCTCTCTGCCAGAGCCATCTGTCTACCAGTAGCTTTCCGATTATTTCCGACCATTTCTGCTAACTCATGTGCAGTTTGACTGGTTGCTAGGCAGACTCTCGACCCGTTTCTACGGCTGGCCCCACCAGGTCGTCCATGACCCGTGGCGGCTGAGACTTCGGCCATGAAGCGTCGCCAGCTGAGCACATGTGACGTCACCAGACAGCCTGAGAATCTGCGGCTGTTGTTCTGATGCGTGCCGTGTGATGCCCAGTAACGCTATCGGACGCAGCCTTCGGGTAATGTTGATGCCAAACGTGGATGGACAGGCGTAATGTACTCAATGCGATGAAAGCCAAGAAATAAAACAATGATAGAAAAATGGATCAGAAATGAAAGCAACGGGATCAAACTGTCCCATATTTTGAGACGGGGCCAAAAGTATCTTCCCCCTCCCCCATAATTTCAGGCGGCCCAGAAGAGGTCTTCGGTTTTATCGTAAAATTTGCCTACTGTGTTATCAAATCAGGCGTAGAGGGCTCATGTCTGTCTGGTATGGGAAGAGCCTGGTTTAAGGTCAGAAGAGAATCGCTTCGTGTGCGCCAATGGCCCATCTTTGGCTAGTAATGGCCCATTTCAAAGCCGGAAAACATCCATGTCACTTCCAGACATGGCAGGGCCTCTTTCTGATTCGGAAAGGGCTCCTTGTAAGTTCATAAAGGCATATCATCAACCTAAAATCTGTTTCCTCCCGGTCTCGAACCGGGGACCTTCCGCGCGTGGAGTGGACGTGACAAGTAGTACACTACGGAAACAATACATGACACCATCAGATCGATCCCGAGGCGCACTTTGATTTGGGGAATGGGAGTACCACGTGATCCATGTGACGCACTGGTTCAAACTTCAACCAGTCTGCTCCTCGGTAACAGGCCCTTGACAGCTGGGCTAATCACAGACGTGCTCTTATTCGCACCAGTATAGGTCCGCACGGTGGTTGACATGGATATGGTGGTCGCGACTGCAGGGAAGGGGCGTAGTTCCGTTTCAAAGCGTTGACAGGAAAATCTGTACTCGAAAATGATTAAACCTGATATCCTTATTATTAGGCTTCATGAGTGTCAACGCGTTACGCCTGCTTCATTTCACTGTTTTTTTTTTCATTTCTAGGTTTTCATTGCGTCCGTATGTCATCTCTGCGTGACTCTGTTTGGCCTCAATATTGACCGCTGACTACGTCGGATAGTGTTACTAGACATGCCATACCATGCATCAGAACGGCCGCCGCAGACCCTCTGGCTGTCAGGTGACTTCACATGCAGTAAGTTGGCGGCGCTTCATGGTCAAGGCCTCAGCCGCTACGGGTGCTGGACGAACGCGCGGGGCTAGAGGCACTGGACACTGACGAGCGAGGACTGCCTGAAAACAAGTCAAACTTGACAAGGCTGCGTCGCTTTCGCTCTTATTAAAAAGCTTATAGTTAGTGATCGACAGTGATCTCCAAGCGTGGTGCGACGTGGTGACTTGACTGACGTAAATGATAGCATCTGATCAATATGGACAGCTGTATCAACCCAAAATCTGCCCCCGCCCGGGTTCGGACCGAAGACCTTCCGCGTGTGAAGCGGACGTGCTAACTACTACACAACGGAAAAGACGAACAGTATTGCTAGACCCTGGTGGTGGCCTGCTTGAAAACATATGATTGGGAGGCATCGACCCATTGCATTTCAACACTTGATTAATGACGGATGCCCTGATTAATGCACTCCATTAACATCTGAGGACATGATAAGCCTAAATTACCCGGATCTCGTCGGACTGTCCCTAACATGACCCCTAATGATCTGACCCTGACTTATATGACCTGACAACACAGTGCGACTTGGTGTTGTTTCGCAACGTGAAATTGGTGACAGCTAAAAATGGCTCAATGACGAAAAATGTGGCCCCATGATGCAAAACCTCTAAGAACTAAGCATTTTTCGCGTAAGTTTCTGAGGCGCAACAAAATATGTGTCAGAATTAGTGAATTTAACCGCCACACTCAAAGGTACATGTCACATGTATTGTACAGAAAAACGAATTTGAGTGTCAATGCAGTTGCATGCTGTTGTTTCAGCAAAATCGTTTCCGTCCCGTTTACCAACAACCTTCAACTGTCGGCTGCACAGCGCCGCGACTGAATTTCCACAGCGCGGAGAACCGTCATTACAAAATAGCGACTTCAAGGACAATGTCTGGTCTTTCATATGCCGGCAAATGATCATGACAATATGCGCCAACAAATGAAAACAATGCATTCTGTTACGCTCGACGTTCTGAGTGGTTGCGACAAAATTATTGCAAAGTGCGCAAAGGATGGGGTGGATATTGGCCAGTGAACTGTGCTTTCCATCTACTAAGTTCCATCACCCGGCTGCTCAGTTTAGGGGCCGGCGTGTTGTCGACTGCGTTTGGGAAACATTACATTGACTGTTTCTTGGCCAATTGCTAGGGTCGCAATTGATCTGACGGTGTTGGACTGGAATGAGTGATTTGAAGACGGCACGCGCACATACATGATGGAATATGGTTTTGCATCGTTATCTGCTCGGGTAGCTAAGATCTGACAATAATGTTGACAAAAACTAAAAACCGTCTGATCTGTAGTTGCGCGCAAGCACACGTGCTGCACCGATGAGTGGAGACTGTCTGGTAACCAGCCAAACCTCACCAGACCTTGTTCTTATCGGAATACTTTTAGCCAGTGATGTGCAGCAGGGTCGAAATGTGGTTTGACGAGGCAATGTCACTAACCGTAATCGAAATGCCTCCATCAACTAGATGCCCTCACCAACTCAAAACATGTTTCCGCCCGGGCTCGAACCGGGGACCTTCCGCGTGTGAAGCGGACGTGATAACCACTACACTACGGAAACGATGCATGGCGGCTGCAGACACTGGCGGCGGGCTGCTTGAAAGCATAAGATAGAGAGGTCTTGAACCATTGTATTCAATTAAATGATTAATTGTTGCACCTTGCGTATTGTAGGTCACCAATATCCGGGAACAGGGTAAGCCTAAATTGCCGGGATCCTGGCTAACTGTCCCTGGCTTGGCCCCTAATGACCTGACTCATCTGACTTGACGAACCAGTATGACTTGACAATGTTGCAGTTTCGCTGGGTGGGTTTGGATGGCTGAGGAATGAAAAGTGGCTTAACCTACCCGTGACACAAAAAGCGCTAAAAACTAAATATTTTCCGATGATACATGCAATATAATATAGCAAATGTGGAAAAATTAGCGATTCAACCAACGAATTGGACGGCACGTATCCACATGTTCACAAGATGGAGATAAGTGTCAGTGTAGCTGCGTGCTGTTGTCTCAACAGAATTACTTTCGTCCGGTTTACCTACAACCTTCAGTTGCCAACTGCACGGTGCCACGCCTGGATATCCACCACGCGGAGGACCGCCAGTGCACTCACGACTCCAATGTCAATGCCTAGTCTTTAATATGCCGGCAAATGGGCGCGCGAATATGCGCCGACAAAAATGAACACCAGAGAACTTTGCATTGGTGCACGTGGTATAATAGCATAATCATTTTCTCGCATTTCAAGCAAATGCGAGAAAATGATTATAAAATTCGCAAACGTTTTGAGTGGTCATTGGCTAATTGACCGCACTTTCAAGCCATTCAACTTTGTGATCTGGTTGCTCAGTTAAGGCTCCGTCGTGTCATGATTGAAATTGTGTAAGTTGTGACATGTATTTGCGAGGAACACAATGAATGTGGATGAGACAGTATTGATAGTCTTATTCTTCGAAAATAAGCAAGAAAATTGAGAAATAGGTGTGATATTGCGGCTACATGCCTTTATCGAAACAAATACCAGTAGAATATTTTATTGCCGATCGTGTAGCGCCACGTCTGGGTTTCCTGTGCGCGCAGGACCGCCGGAACAAACCCGCGGCTTCAACGTCCATAAGTGTTCGTTGATATGTCGGTGGCAACTGATTTTGGCTAGGTGCGCAGACAAAAAAAATGCAGGGAATAATGTCATAGGTCTACTGCCGATACTTCTTTCGATCAAGGCATGTAGCCGAAATATCACATCTATCTCTCCACTCTCCTGTTCATTCTACCAGGAGTAAGGCAAAACACAGCCTCATTTATTTAAAATGTGTTCGAGAAAGCTACTTTGGCTGCTTTCCGGTCGATTGCTAGAGTTACAATGGATCTGACGGCGTTGGACTGGAATGAGTTATTTGTAAACGGTACATGCACCCACGCGGCGAAGTTGGATTTACGCCGTTACCTGCTTGGGTCGTGGAAATATGAAAACAATCATAAAAACATCAAATCTAAAAGGTCGAAATCGGCTTTTTCCTTCTCATTTATCTTGTTTTTGTTCATTGTCGTCTTTTCATAGTCAAATCGTCATCTTTATTGAAAGAATGGTAATCGAGAAGTCGTGGAATCTGTTGTTGCGCACGATCGCAGGTGCGATGCTGTGCGCACAAATTCGCACGTTCGCAGTTGCTTTCGTTCGTTCTTCTCCGTATCGAAACGCGCTGATCGCGTTTCGCTGAGAGCGAAACGAAAAGACCCGCTGTTGAGAAAATGAACCAGGTGCTGGGTGAACGTGCGGAGCCAAACGCACTGCTTGGTAACTAGCAAAACTTCACCATACCATGTCGCTCTAGTTCCTATCGAAAAACGCCTGGCTAGGGACCTACAGAGAACCCGAGGGGTGGTGTGACGAGGCAATGCGACGGACGCAAATCGAGATGACGCCATCGACTAGACCTGCTCATTGACCGAAAACCTGTTTCCGCCCGGGCTCAAACCGGGTACCTTCAACGCGCGAAGCAGACGTGATAACCACTACACTACGGAAACTCCGCACGACATCATCAGACCCTGGCGTCGGGTTGCTTGTAAACTGTAAAGGCCTGAGAATCATGACCTCGTTATATTGAGCCGCAGCACGCACTGCAGGGCGCGGCAGGGTCACCGGCTGCGACCGGTTACAAACCACCGGCGGGCGTTCGCCGGCACAGCGTTACTGGCCCACGCAGGGCACGCGCATCCGGAACACACCGCGGCAAGGCCCATAGTGCCCGTGCTTAGCACTGCCTCCAAGCAAAATAATAACGGTAAAAAAGAGGAAAAGAAAATATAACCCTGATAATAGTAGGCTCAGCTGGAGTTTGCTTCCTGGGTCAACCAGATCGGCGAACACCAGAGGCGCTCGCACTCTCCTGACTCGACGCGATCGGTACGGCCGCCGTCTGCCAGGGTAGCGACGTCCATACATCTGCTCCAGACAGCCCAGAGCTGTGAGACAGGTCACCTGCGGCAGCGTTTTGCAGCGACTCTGCCGCCGATGTCGCCGGCATGGACGCGCGCAGCAAAGGAACCGGGGTCACCAATAGTGACACGGTCGCCACAAGGATGACCGAGCTCGGCGCGTCAGAGAGAGGCGTAAGCGGGTCGGACACCGGGGCTTCCGACGGTGGCGCCGCCTCTGCAGGGGCTGCCCGAGGTGCCCCGGACGAGAACTCCCTATGGAGATCGCGACGGGCTGCCACATCAGCGTCACCGGTCACCTCAGGAGATCCTGCAAGCGTATTGCCTAGCTGGCGCCTTGCCCGGTCGTTGTGCCGTTGCCAGAGCCTGCCATGATGCATTATGGCGGCATGCCACACAGGCCCATCGATACTGACGATCCTTCTAGCAGCCCAATGAGGTCCGATGCTGTAGATTCTTGCAAATACAAGATTTGCAATGCCTAGTTCGCGATTACCGCTTTGTCTTGGAATCTTAGTTCTGGGTCACCGGTCGCAGCTGGTTTCGGATGAGACGGCCAACCATGAGCTCTGAGGGCGTAACTGACTTATCGTTGTGGGTCGTGATATGCTGACGGTGCAGCCATCGAGACTTGTGGCTTCCCAATTGTCGTTGACCCGTTGCAAAACCAGCTTCTCGTCACGCGCCGCACGCTCGGCAAGGCCATTACCCCGACTGTGAAAAGTTCAATCGTTTTGTAGTGAATGCCATTTTCTTGCAGGAGGTTTTGAAAGTCCGTGATGTAAACGAGGCAGTGTCATCAGCGACAATAAGGTTCGCGTGTCCCCACTTAGAGAGTGCTCTCCGTAATTTGACAACCGGTGTCTTGGAGCCGACCTCTGCGCAGATCTAAGCCTCAATCCATTTAGACTACGCAACCACTACCACAAACACTTGCATTTCTTACGTGGGCTCCGCGAAATCCAGATCTACTTGCGACTAGTCACGGCAGGCCAGGGTCACCTGCAGAGGGCAGCTCGGTCGTGATCAGGCCTGCTCTCCTGGCACGCCTGGCAAGAGCTCGCGATACGTGCAATGTCCTCACCCATGTAAGACTTCCATAAGCAGCTACTGGCAAAGGCCTCCCATCCCACGAATGCCAGGGTGAGCTGCACGGGACTCTGTCAAGACGGCCTCACGTGCCTTCCTGTGTGTTATAACTTGATGACCCAACAGCAGGACACCAGAGCAAACACACCATTCGAGTCGTTTGGTGGAAAACAGGGCAGTTTAAGGTCAGAGTTCTGCAACCAGCCACTCTTCTGGCGCAGTGCATCATTCAAGACAAATCGGGTCACGTGACGCCAGCACCGCAATCTTTCTAGCGTCAAACAGTCCATCATCCACCAACAGTAACAGGTCTTCCTCTTCCGATGATGTGAGGTCTAGCAGGAGACGCCTGCTGAGAGCATCGGCGTTGCCCACCACCTCCGTGCGGCGTCCCCAGATCTCGTGCCTGTATGCAGACAGCTTCAGCGCCCACCTGCAAATTCTGGTACACACCATCGCGGGAGGATCAGCACGCTCTCCAAAGAGTGTCACTAACAGTTTGTGGTCCGTCACTAAGGTATGCAGGCTCTTTAACAAGTACGATTGGAAGTTGATGACGCCGAACGTGATGGCGAGCACCTCGCGCTCAATCTAGGAGCATTTGTTCTCGCTTGGGAGGGCTCCTTGACACGAACTCCAATGACCTCTCAAACCTATCAGGCTTCTTTTGAACCAGGACAGCGCTGATCTCGACAGGTGAGGCATCACATTTGAGAACTTGTTTGATGTTGTTTGATGCGGCCTTGTTTGATGTTGAAGTGGCCCAGTACCGGGCTTGAGGTGAGGACCTTACGCGCCCACCGGAGGTCATGCCCCCGGATAACAAGGAAGTACAATACGTAAAGCTCCAAAACATTATTTTAGTAATGGAATACAACTGGCCGATGTCTGCCAATCGTGTGTTTCCAACCAGCTCGACCGCAGGGTCTGCTATCCGCACATGTCGTTTCCGTAGTGTAGTGGTTATCACGTCCGCTTCACACGCGGAATGTCCCCAGTT